GCAGAATTAGAGCAGGGAAATTAAAAAAAAAAAAAAAAAAAAAAAAAACAAGCTCATCTTTGTGAGTTAGTTACCTGTGTGCAATGAGGAAGAAATATCCTATTTGTTAGTCATAAATGCTCATTAGATAGTAGACTCGCTAGACTTCTTCAAAGTATGCACCAGGTATTATTTCCTTTACTCCATTTGAAACTGTTATCAATGACCCATTGTTTTTAAATGTGTATAGGCGTTTGGAGCTACTTTGAAGAAACTCTCACTGGCCGAATATGGGACACTTCGGGCACCAAAATGAATACTAGCAGGAATACATTATAACCCATCAAATAAATTAAGGACTGATGACTCCATATTGATATGAATTAAATGGAGAAATAAAAAAGGAAGATGAGAAAGTTATCCATGACAGTAGAATGTCAGTGAGTAAATGCAGAAGGAATAAAGGAGTTTCAAAATCACCATTTACAACCATTATAATAAAATTTGATCAAGTAAATATCATCAATGAATGCTACTACTATTGGTTGGAAGTTTGATGGGGAACAGAATATTTATATACCTCAAAACATTTCCCTAATAATTATTTATTTGCTTCAAAAGGAAAATGTTAACTTTCTTGTGGAGAAACTTGAGAACATATCCTTGATTATAGGATCGAAGTTATCATTAGTAATGGACAAACTGGAATGTATCTCCTGAAGTCACACACTGAAGGGACACATTACTTATGTGTTTCTGTTAAAATGCAAAACCTGAATATAATCATGGGGAAACATCAGATAAACTCAGACTAAGAAGCACTCCACATAATGACTGGCCAGCTATCTTCAAAAAATGTTAGAGCCATCTAATATAAAGGTGGTCTGAGCAAGTATTTCAGATCTAAATAAATTAAGGAGACATGCTATCTAAATGCAATGTATGGACATGGATAAAAATTGCTCTATAAGATATTATCGGAAAATGGCAACATTTGGATATAGTGTGTATATTAGGTAATAATATTGTGTCAACATTTAATTTAATTGATATCTGTACTGTTGTTATACAAGAAAGTGTCCTTAGTCTTAGGACATTAGTCTATCTCTATCCATGTCATCTCCCTAGAAAGAGAGAGAAATCAGGTGTGGCCAAATGTTGAATCTAGGTGAAGGCTATGTGACAAAAGGAATTCTTTGTTTTATTCTTGTAACTATTCTGTAAGTTTGAAATCTTTTCAAAAATAAAAAGTTTTAAAATAAAAGGAATTAGGCTTGAAAAAGAATTTTTTTCTTTGGTGTGTTAAAAGAAAAATCTAGACAAATTAAATTTAACAGATTTTAATTCATCAAAGAATAATTCACCAATTGGGCAGCTGCCAGACCAGCACAGGTTCAGAGCAACTCTTTGGCTGCCATCTGGTAGAATAACTTTTATGAATAGAAAAAGGAAAGTGATTTGAATAGTTGTAAATGCGACCATATGAGACTCTATTAAATATCTGAAGAGCAAGATGAAGAATTGAACTAATGCCCATCAATGATAGACTGGATAGAGAAGATGTGGCACATATACACCATGGAATACTATTCAGCCGTTAAAAAGGATGAGTTCACGTCCTTTGTAGGGACATGGATGAAGCTGGAAACCATCATTCTCAGCAAACCAAGAACAGAAAACCAAACACCACATTTCCCACTCATAAGTGGGAGTTGAACAATGAGAGCACATGGATACAGGGAAGGGAACACCACACATATGTTGGGGTTGGGGGGCTAGGGCTAAGGGAGGAATAGCATTAGGAGGAATAGCATTAGGAGAAATATCTAATGTAGATGACAGGCTCATGGGTGCAGCAGAACACCGTGGCATGTGCATACCTATGTGACAAACCTGCACGTTCTGCACATGTGCCTCAGAACTTAAAGTATAATAAATAAATAATTTTAAATAAAAAACAAAAAAGAAATGTGATCACACATCTCAATTATTAAAGGCAGCCTTAATCTTAATAAAAAAAATGGAAAAGGAAAGTGATGTCCAGAAAACTAAAATGAGGGACAGAAATCACTGGGTTGGTTGCAGCTCAGTGTTTGCCTTAGTTGAACGTGGTTTAAACAGTTGGCCAACTTTGATTGACCAAAACTGGGCTGTTGTGGACTTGGATAGTTGCTGGAAAGGTAGGTTACAGTTTGCTTACACATTCAGTGAGGTTCCAGTTTACTATGCATGGAGAAACCTTTATAGCCAAACCTAAAATATGTAAAGAGGCAGCTTTAGGTTAAACTTAATTTAACAATTGTTGGTATAATAAGAATGAGGAGTTTGGGACTTTTGGAGGAAATGCTGAAATATATAATAAAATTTACTTCATGGGAGCATCTAGTATAAAAACTCCTTAAAATATTTTTAACACAGTAAATTTTTTATCTCCTTGGATCTCTGAAAATAAAGAACTTCTGGCAAAGTGGCTGACAATTGATACTGACAGACCCATTTCCTGGGACAAGCAAGCATAAATGCTTCAAAAATTACAAAAAAAAATTCAATCATGTAGTTGAACTTGAGAAAAGTATAGAAAAATTCTCATTTTTCAGAAACTAAGAGGGAACTCAAACAGCAAACACTAGCTGATGTCCTGTGGCCTGTGGGAAGGTTTGGCACCCAGTTACACGCCCTCAGAATTGGAGGCTGGTGGTTAAAACTCAGGCAGGTACAAGAAATGGGACCTGAAATTGTCACAAGGCAGGATCTAGGAAGTAAGACCGTTATGTAAAGTTCACATTCTTAAGAATGCAGTTTGGGCAAATTGTTCTCATGATGCCAAGATCCCTTTTGAAGTCAAAAGAGAAGAACATAACTTAAAATTTACATTCTGAAAGCATTCTTGTGCATAAGATGAAGACAAGAAAACCTTAGTCTGCCCATAGGAATTTTATGTGGTAATAAAGTAATGAACAACTAAACCATGCAGTATCACCAAGCTTCCTAATTCACAATATATGCATAGTGAAGGAATCACAAGGTGGGAGACTGCTGATACTAAATACTACATGTCCTTGAAATAATCAGAAACAAAAGCAAAAGGGATAGCCCACAGAAAGAACTCCTGCCCCCCAAAATAAAAAACTCAAAATCAGAAAACATTAAGCACAAGCGGAAATAACCCTCTAAGAAACCACACGCAAATTCCATGGGATGCCCACAGGGGTCAATTTCTGCGTAAGATAAATGCACCGGCAAATATTACAAAATGTGTAAGAAAATAATGTATCATGAGTATTATAGTAGACATAGGAAAAGGGAATATAACCCCCAGGAATTGAGATAACTGAAGATTCTGAAGGAGACTATTTATAAATGGGATTAAAAGGTAAACAAAAAATGGAAATTGGGAAGAGGGGAAGGGGAGGGAGAGCATTAGGACAAATATCTAATGCATGTGGGGCTTAAAACCTAGATGACAGGTTGATGGGTGCGGCAAACCACCAAGGCATATGTATACCTATGTAACAAACCTGCATGTTCTGCACATGTATCCCAGAACTTAAAGTATAATAAATAAAAATGTTTTAAATGGAAATCATAATGAAGAAATGGAATATAGAAAATGACTGATTTGGAAAAGAACAACGTAGATTTACTCTTTGTCGAGATCATCATTTCTATCACTTTGCATCAATGTGTCAATTTCCTTCTACTTTTTTTTTTTTTTTTTTTTTTTTTGAGGCAGTCTTGCTCTGTCACCCAGCCTGGAATGCAGTAGTGTGATCTCAGCTCACTGCAACCTCTTCCTTCTGGGTTCAAGCAATCCCCCTATCTCAGTCTCCAGAGTAGCTGGGATTATAGGCACCCACTACCATGCCTGGCTAATTTTTGTATTTTTAGTAGAAACAGGGTTTCACCATGTTGATCAGGCTGGTCTTGAAATCCTGGCCTCAAAGTGATCCACCCACTTTGATCTCCCAAAGTGCTGATTACAGGCGTAAGCCACAGAGCCTGGCCTAGTCTATTTCTTTTAGTAAAGTTTGGTGTTAACATATTCTCTCATTTTGTTTTTCTGAAAATAACTTAATTTCATTATCTTTTTTGTCTCTCTGGGCATATAATTGTCTATCGGCAGTGTTTTCCTTCATAAGATGTCTCTTCATCATCTTCTCACTTCCATTATTTCAGTTAGATTTTAGGCTTCCTGTTCTTTTTGGGAAAGTGTGTGCTGTTTTTCCCCTGTTGCTTTTACTTATTTTATTATAAAAGCACGTATATATTATTTAAGATGTACAATATAATATTTTGACATAGAATGTAAAATGATTACTAAGGCAAGCTAATCAACATATCCATTGCCTCACATAGTTGTCTTTGTGTGTGTCAGTGAAAACACTTCATATCTACTCTCTTAGCAAGTTCAAGCATACAGTACAGTATTATTAGCTGTAGTCAACATGCTGTGTATTAAATTTTTAGAATTTATTTATTCTACGTAACTACAGTTGTGTTTTGGTTATAATTTCTCCGGAACTGAGAACAATCATTAAAAAGCAATGCAAAAAGAACATTGTATTTCTATGTAATGAAAGTGGAGTTTTATTTAGAATCAGCAAAAATAAGATACAGAAACATTGCTGTAAAAGGAAGTATAGGGTGAAACCATCAGACTTTCAGATCTGAGAGTGAGACATCCTTGCCCCCACTAGCCCTGCAAGAATGTCCACATTTGGAACAGAAGGACTTGGTATCCATAAATAAAAATGTAGGGCATACAATTTTGTAAATTCTTTTAATTTCTTGCTATAAATAACATCTAATTTCATACTTCGGTCAACATGGGGAACATATATTCTAGATGTATATCTAGGACATATATCCTAGATATATGTCCAGGATATGGACATAGTTGGTGGGGATGGCCTCTTCTGAGTTGTCTATGAGATGCAGAAGGTTTGCTTCTGTCATAAGTGAGATGAAAGGGAGGAGGCGGGTTCAGGAAAGGTGTTCAGCAGCAAGAGGAAGCACAGCACATGGGGCGGGGGCAGGTGGAGATGACACAGGTTGGGCGATAGCAAGTGGTGTGGCAGGAGACTTGGCCACAGACTGGACGCAGGCAGCAACAGGGGCGGCAGCAGCTGGATTCACAGCAAGAGGGGCGGCAGCAGCTGGACACACAGCAGCTGGGTCGGCAGCAAGTGGTCCTGCAGCAGGTGGTCTGGCAGCAGCTGGGGCGGCAGCAACTGGATTCACAGCAAGAGGGGCGGCAACAACTGGAGATGCAGCAGCTGGGGCGGCAGCAGGTGGGCTGGCAGCACACAGACTGGCAGCACTGGGGTCTGCAGCAGCTGGACACACAACAGCTAGGGCGGCAGCAGGTGGTCCTGCAGCAGGTGGTCTGGCAGCAGCAGGGGCGGCAGCAGGTCTCCAGGCCACAGCCCTGGTCAGAGCAGACGGAACCACAACAGCTGACCATGGTGTTAGAAGGTGGATGTTCTGGGTGGGTTTCCAGGAGAGTTAGTTTCCTAAGTTTGTGAGTCTCCTTGCTACATGTCCCCTTTTATACCCAGCTGAGGAGCCTTTGTGATTATGAGATTATTTCCTTGTTATTGTTTACATGACACAAATGCAATTACTAAATTATATCACGTGTTTTTCTAGTAAGAAATCCCAATATATAGAAAATGATTATTTCCCTTTTCTCACCCTGGTGTTCCCATATGAGTCACCTCTTGTTTACCTTTCCTTAGTTTCAGTGTCACATAACTTCAGTCTCTGGGTATCATGTGACATGGGAGGGCCACTGTCACTTGTCTGTTTCTCATCTTGACATCATTTTGGGAGAGCTTCTGACAGGGCTAAGATCTCTAGTGGAGAAATGCATGTTTCAATCAGCTGGAATGCTGGCAGGAAAAAAAGAATGTTCCTGTTTTTGAGTGTGAGAAATGAGGAAGCTTATGATTCACTGTGTGTATTCTGGGTGGTCATTGAGTTAACCAGATTCCTAGGTCATTCCAAGCTATGTCAATTCCCATCACTCTGGTGCACCTTGAAACAGTTAGCAGTGACTCACTGTTTTTAAGGAACAAAGCATCATCTGGGTTTGAGCTGTGTCTGTCTTCAAAAATGTCATACAGGCTGAGGTAGAGTAATGTGGGTCATAGTTTTTGATCTGCCTTTTTAAATATCAAAATGTGTAATATGCTTTATTGACATTTTGTTAAAATACTTTTCATACATTCTGACCTAAAACATCTAGCAGGGTTTTTGTGTGTGTGTGACTTATTAAATATTTTTAGAAGCATTGAGAGGAATATGAAAGACATATTTCTTAACTTACAACTACTTATGTAACTGTGGACTTCAATTTTTAAAATCACCCACTTTGTCTTCCTTTCCTCCCCTCTCACCTCTTCATTCCTCCCCTCTCTGCACACTCCCCTCTGGCAACACATGCTTATCTAGTTGTAATCTTGCTTAAGAAATTCCAGAGGCTAATCTTGAAATAAAGCAGACACAGAGCCCTGAGGAATCCTCTCACTTAGGGGGAATCTTGAACCACCACTGGGCTGAAGTCAAAATAATGCCACCCAAACCTCCAGACACCCAAGGTAGCCATCAGAACAAGACACGCAAACTCTGCACCCTGCACCAGGATGTCCCATGCCAAGTTTCTCTTTCAAAACCCTATGGTTAATTTTAAAATTTAAGATGGCACTTCAGATGCTAGTTCACTAGTTAAAATATGGCAAAGAAATATATTTTGGGGTGAAATGTTTGTTGAGTTCCCTGCAAAGTTCTGACTTATGTAGGTACAGCTGAAACAATTGGGGGAGCAAACTTCTTTAATCCCCAAGACTATTGTTAACCTCCAGTAACTGTCTTCCTTATATACTGGCCAGAGGGGACTGTTATAAAGGAGTTCATGGGAATTAAAATAACTCTTGTTTCAGGTACTTCCTTAATCAAAACAGGCCTCTCTTGTTGCCCTTCTGGAATTCTATCTTGCTTAGTTTTTACTAGCTAGAAAGGCTTGAGCAATTCCGAACGTACTTATTTAGCATGGTCAAATAATGCTGAGTGACTTTTAAGTGAATGAAACATCAACTAAGTCAATGTTTCATTCACTTAAAATCCATCTGTACTGTGCATTTAGGTAAAGCTGATGTGGCCAGAGTAATCACTCCAGTCACACTTTCCCATTCATAAATTTATATCTACCTTGGGTTTCACCACCACAATGTCTCCCATATCATCTTTGGACTTTTTAGAGCACCATAACTCTCCTCAAAGGCAATGACTGTACTTCAGTGTCTGTGCATACTAATCCTAAAAAGTTTCACATGCCACCCTCTGGGCATTTCCACCCAAATCATTGCATAGGCCTTCAGAATTGGGGTACCTACTCCTTGTTATTGTGAGCCCTGGGGTACCAAGCTTTTCCTTGTTGCTTTTCCTGAACTCTAGCTACACCTTTGCAAATAGTCTCTTTATTACACAGATACACTGTGTCATCTCATTCCTCCTATGGCCCAGTTCTTGTAGAAAGAGGAAATTACAAGCCTCATATACTTTAATACTGAAAAGACCATATAAAATCTGCAGTCTGATTTCATTCTAGCTAATAAAGCATAATGTTAAAACCAAAGCCAGCATTCTTTAATGGGCAGTTGTCAAAGAAGAACATATGGGAGATAAAAGACTTGTTAATTCTGATGTATAAATTGACAAGTCTGTACTCTGTAGAATAATTTAGAGTGAATGGAAACGGCTGAAGCCAAAAGTGTCTGCAAGGCATTTTTATGATATGCTAAGAATACAGCACCTAACCTATGCTGGAGTGAGCCCACATAATGTTAACTTCTATTCATGCTGTCTCTTGACAACTTAAAACTTCTTTATTTTTACATTTCAGAAATGCTAATCAGCTCTTAGTTACATTTCTTTGGAAATATAACACAGCTAATTTAAAAATTATGATTTGTAGAAATTTTGGATTTAACAGTTTTAATATGCTTTGGATTGTTAGCTGAAACATAAAACCCTTTTATTTATATTAATAAGATATATTGCACATATTGTGACACATTTTCTTATCTACATAGAATAACACTTATTTGAGTTTTGGTGATGAGAAACTGAGTCCCAAGGAAAAGTCCCACCCATGTTCTCTTAAGATGAAGCAAGGAGGTTAAAGCCCAAAACGAGGGAGTAAAACCATCAAGAAAATGCAGAAACCTCTGTAACATTAGAGGCTAAAATTATAAAGGAGTTTCAGTCTGGAAATACTAAGACTTTGAGTATCTATTAATTAAAAGATGTAAAACTTTTATGAGAAAGCTTCCATGGATGTCATAAATTTCCAGAAATCTTGACTTAGAAGGTACACTTTATATTCTGAAAGATAATTTTATGTTAAGAAGGAAGGGAGGGAAGGAGGGAAGGAGGAGTTGGGAGGGAAGGAAGGAAGGAAGGAAGGAAAGGGGATAGTAGGCAGAAGGAAGTTAAAGGGATTAGAAGGAGAGGGAGAGGGGAGGGAAGGAAGGAAGGAAAAAGTACTTGAGGTAGAGAGAACACTCAAAATTTCCACAGCCAATAATGGAACATACTGGAAGTAGAAATACAGTGAAACAAAATTCATGATGTTCAACTTGCTGGAGTTTTTAAGGGACATTTGAGGCATATCCCAAAACTTAATTTTAAGTTATAGAAGACAGTGTGACAATGTTAGAAATTTTCTTGCTCTTCTGTCAAAAAAGAACATTATGCTGCGATATTATTCTAGCCCAGAGTACTGTTTATTTGTTTGTTTGTTTATCTAGACAGAGTTGCTTTGTCACCCAGGCTAGGGTGCAGTGAGGCAATCTCGGCTCACTGCAACCTCTGGCTCTTGAGTTCAAGTGATTCACCTGCCTCAGCCTCCCAAGTAGCTGGGACTACAACCACCACACCCAACTTATTTTTGTATTTTTAGTAGAGAAGGGATTTCACCATATTTCCCACACTGGTCTTGAATTCCTGGACTCAAGTGATCCACCCACTCAGCCTTCTAAAGTGCTGAAATTACAGATGTGAACCACCTCACTCAGCCAGAAACTGTATTCATTAAGAGCCTATACTGCATTAGGTACCAGGCCCTGTGGTGAATATATTACATGGATTGTGTCTCTGAACATTTAAAGAACATAATGTATTATCTCTATTCACAGAGAAAGAAAACTGAGATCTGGGGAGGTTAAACAACTTGCCCCACGCCACGCAACAAATACCCAGTGGAGTCTTGAGTCCAATATAGGTAACGTGAATCAAGGCCCAGTCTCTTAAACATGCTTTTAAGGAGAGATGGAGGTACTTTTTCCTTCCTGCATTTGAGGAGAGATGGCCCTTGGTGTGAAGTGACAGGTAAAGACACACACATATACACATACACACACACACACATACACATGCACACACACACACACACACACATATACATACACACACATACACACACGTATATACACACATACACACACATACACATGCACACGCACACACATACACATACACACATATACACACACACATACACATACACACACGTATACACACACATGCACATAAACACACATATACACACACACATACACATAAACACACATACACACACACACATACACATAAACACACATATACACACACACACATAGGCACAGACCGTCAAATCACTAACAGATCAGGAAATTTCAATATTAGGGAAATGGCTGTTTATTAATATATGAAAACAATATTATATGAGATCATCACAGGTAGTGTCCCCTTAGAATGAAGACACTGCTTTATCTAAAAATAACTGCAGTGGGGTCTGGCATAACACATTTTAATGAATGTGCTTATGTCTGTCATTTCCTAGAAGAACTGAATGTCCACTCTGAATGCCACATGAGACGACTTGACAAGGAAGTGTTCATTTTTCCAATGACTGGCTAGCTACAGCGCATTTTATATGACTAATGAAGACATTCATAGTATGACAAATATTACAAGGAGAGTTTAGCAGCAAGAGGAGGCACAGCACATGGGGCGGGGGCAGGTGGAGATGACACAGGTTGGGCGATAGCAAGTGGTGTGGCAGGAGACTTGGCCACAGACTGGACGCAGGCAGCAGCAGGGGCGGCAGCAGTTGGATTCACAGCAAGAGGGGCAGCAGCAGCTGGGGATGCAGCAGCTGAGGCGGCAGCAGGTGGGCTGGCAGCATACAGACTGGCAGCACTGGGGCCTGCAGCAGCTGGACACACAGCAGCTGGGGCGGCAGCAGGTGGGCTGGCAGCACGCAGACTGGCAGCACTGGGGTCTGCAGCAGCTGGACACACAGCAGCTGGGGCGGCAGCAGCTGGAGGTACAGCAGCTGGGGCGGCAGCAGGTGGTCCTGCAGCAGGTGGTCTGACAGCAGCTGGGGCGGCAGCAGGTGGGCTGGCAGCATACAGACTGGCAGCACTGGGGCCTGCAGCAGCTGGACACACAGCAGCTGGGGCGACAGCAGGTGGTCCTGCAGCAGGTGGTCTGGCAGCAGCTGGGGCGGCAATAGCTCTCCGGGCCACAGCTCTGCTCAGAGCAGACAGACCCACAACAGGAGCTGACCATGGTGTCGGAGGGTGGAGGTTCTGGGTGGGTTGCTAGAAGAACGGGGTTCTCAAGTTTGGAAGTGTTCTTGGGCCACAGCCTCTTATATACTGCCCAGCTTCCTTGTTTTTGTTTACTTAATAACTAAATGATTATCAGATTACACAATAATGTTTGTCCATTTAATGGTTTAAACTTGTTGAAAACATTTAAAGAACATAATGTATTATCTTTACTCACAGAGAATAGAGATAATACATTCTCTATTGTAAAGAATGTAAAGATAACACATTCTCTATTGTAAAGAACATAATGTATTATCTCTATTCACAGAGAATAGAGATAATACATTCTCTATGGTATTCTACATCTTTCTTGTCCAGATGTAGTAAGAATAGATATTACTACATCTGGACAAGAACATTTTGTTGAAAACAAAGGGATTTTTTTTTTCACATCCTTGCCAATAACTTGTCATCTTTTGTCTTTTTGATGATAGCCATTCTAACAGGAGTAAGGTGATATCTCAGTGTGGTTTTGATTTGTATTTTCCTAATAATTAGTAATGTTGGATACTTTTTCACATACCTGTTAGCCAGTTGTGTGTCTTCGTTTGAGAAATGTCTAGTCAGGTCTTCTGCCCATTTTTAATCGGTTTTTTGTTTTCTTGCTTCTGAGCTGTTTGAGCTCCTTATACATTTTGGATATTAACCCCTTATGAGATGTATTTTCTCTTATGAGAGTTATTTTCTCCCATTCTGTAGGTTATCTCTTCATTCTTTTTGTGGTTTCCTTTGCTGTGCAGAAGCTTTTTAGTTTGACATAATCTCAGCCATCTAATTTTTCTTTCATCGCCTGTGCTTCTGAGGTCATATTCAAAAAGTCATTGCCAAGACCAATGCCATGAATCTTTCACCTATGCTTTCTTTCAAAAGTTTCACAGTTTCTGATCTTACATTCAAGCCATTAATCGATTTGAACTGATTTTCATATATTCTAAGAAATAAGGGACTAATTTCATTCTTCTGCATGTGGATACCTAGGTTTCCTAACACAACTATTTATTTATTTATTTATTTATTTATTTATTTATTTATTTATTTATTTATTTTTGGAGACAGAGTCTTGCTCTTGTTACCTAGGGTGGAGTGCAGTGGCACAATCTCGGCTCACTGCAACCCCTGTCTCCTAGATTCAAGCGATTTTCCTACCTCAGCCTCCCAAGTAGCTGGGATTACAGGCCTCTGCCACCATGCCCAGCTAATTTTTTGTGTTTTCGTAGAGACAGGGTTTCACCATGTTGCCCAGGCTGGTCTCAAATCCCTGACCTCATGATCCACCTGCCTCGGCCTCCCAAATGCTGGGATTACAGACATGAGCCATCGCACCTGGCCCTAACACAATTTATTGAAGAAACTGTCCTTTCCCTATCTTCTCACCTTTGTTGAAAATCAATTGGCTGTAAATATGTGACTTTATTTCTGATCTCTGTATTCCATTCCATTGGTCTGTGTGTTTGTTTTTATGTCACAATGATGGTATTTTGGTTACTGTAGTGTTGTGGCTTATTTTGAAGTCAGGGAATGTGATGCTTCTAGCTATGTTCTTAGTGTTCAAGATTACTTTAGTTATTTGTGGTTCTATACAAATTTTAGAACTTTTTTTTCTATTTCTATTAAGAATGCCATGGGTATATTTATAGGCAGTGCATGAAATCTGTAAATTGCTTTTAAAATATTTGGACAATATTAACTCTTTCAGTTCATAAACACAGGACATTCCATTTATTTGTGATTTCATCAATTTCTTTCATTTTTATTTGACAGTTTTCAGTGTAGAGATGCTCACTTTCTTGGTTAAATTTATTCCCAAGTTTTTATTTTATTGTAACTATTGTAAATGAAATCGTTATCTTGATTTCTTTTTCAGATAGTTTTCTATTAGTTTATAGAAAACCTGCTGGGTTTTGTATGTTGATTTTATACTCTGCAACCTTACTGAATTTATTAGTTCTCACAGTTTCTTAGTGGAGTCTTTAGGGTTTTCTACATAAAAGATCATGTCATCCGCAAATAGAAACAATTTAACCTCTTCCTTTTCCATTCAGATATCTTTAAAATATTTTATTCATGTAAATTTATAAAAGTATAATCTTGTTACATGGATATATTGCATAATGGTCACGTCAGGATGTTTATAGTATCCATCACCGAAATAATGTACGTTCTACCCTTCAAGTAATTTCTCATCATCCATTCCCCTCCTATAACCCTTCCCTTTAGATTCTCCACTGTCTGTCATTCCACACTCTGTGTCAATGTGTACACATCATTTGGCCCCACAGAAAGTGAGAACATGCCATATTTGTCTTTCTATGTCTCAGTTGTTTCACTTAAGATAATGGCCTCAAGTTCCATCCATGTTTCTGCAGAAGACATGATTTAATTATGTTTTATGGCTGAAGACTACTCCATTGTTTATATATAGCACATTTTCTTTTTACAGTCACCCATTGATGGACATTTAGGTTGATTCCATATCTTTGCTACTATAAATAGTGGTGTGATAAACATGTGTACAGGTATATTATGGGTATAATGAGTTCTTTTCCTTCAGGTAGACACTCAGTCATGGGATTGCTGAATCAAATTGTAGTTCTATTTTTAGTTCTTTGAGAAATCTCCATACTGATTTTCATAGAGGTTGTACTAATTTACATTCCCAACTGTTGATGGGTTCCCTCTCAGCTGTATCTTCATCAACAATTGTTATTTCTGTCTTTTTAATAATAGTCATTCTGACTGGTATAAGATGATTTCTCATTGTGGTTTTATTTGTATTTGTTTGACAATTTAGTTGATGAACATTATTTCATATGCTTATTGGCCATTTGTATGTCTTCAGATATAACGATATGGAAGAAAAAGAGATTGGAGACCGGGCATGATGGTTCATGCCTGTAATCCCAGCATTTTTGGAGGCCGAGGCAGATAGATCACTTGAGGTCAAGAGTTCAAGACCAGCCTGGCCAACATGGTGAAACTCTGTCTTTACTAAAAATACAAAAATTAGCTGGCTGTGGTGGCACATGCCTATAATTCTAGCTCTTCAGAGCGCTGAGGTGGGAGAATCACTTGAACCTGCAGGGTGGAGTTTGCAGTGAGCTGAGATGGCACCACTGCCCTCCAGCCAGGGTGACAGAGCAAGACTCCATCTCAAAAAGAGAGAGAAAGAGAGAGAGAGAGAGAGAGAGAGAGAGAGAGAGAGAGATTAAAGACAACTAGTCTAGAGATAATTGTGCCAAAACTGAGAAGAGGAGGAAGAAGGAGAAGGAAAGGGAGATGGAGGGGGAGGGGAGGGAAAACGGGGAGGGGGACGGGGAGAGGGAGAGGCAGAGGCAGAGGGAGGGGGGAGGGAAAGGGAGAGGAAGAAGGATGATGATGAAGAAGAAAAGAAGAAGAAGAAGGAGAAGGAGAAGGAGAAGGAGAAAGAAGGAGAAGGAGAAGGAAGAAGAAGAGGAGGAAGAGGAAGAAGAAGAAGAACAAGAAAAAGAAGGAGAAGATTATTCAGAATATTTTTGAATTTAGTAGACAGTACACTCAAGAGTTGACCATGACACCAGGGTAACCACTGATACTGTACAAAAATGATTTAATTATGTTACATGAAATAGGACAAGCACAGAAAGACAAATTGCTAACGGAATAGAACTCATGAAGAAGAATAGATTGCTGGTTATCAGAGTCAAAGGGGAGTGGCTGGGGGAAATAAAGAGGTTGATTGATGGGTACAAATATAAGTTAAAAAAATATGACCTATGACCTAGTGTTCAATAGAACTGTAGGATGACTATAGTTAACAATAATCTATTAAATATTTCAAAGTAAAAAAGAATAATTCAGATGTTCCTAGCATAAAGATAAATTATGATGAATAAACCAATTACCCGGATTGAATCTTTACACATTATATGAATGCATCAACATTTTATATGTACATCTGTTATATATCAATAAAAAAGAAAAAATGTCTTGAAGGACACTAATACTGAGATTAGAAACACTGATGTCTTAGATTGGGTACCCACTGGAGCAGACCCAGGAGTATACATGGGAGATGGTCCCAAGAAGTGCTTAATGGAACATGAAAAATGCTCCAGGAAAGGGAGGGAAGCAGATACAAGATGAGTTAATAATCAGAATACCCCTGTAGGCAGCTGGAATTAGGTCTCTCTGAGGACCTCTGAAAGGCTGGTACAACATGTTCCCAACTGGAGGAGAAATAACTAAAGCATGTGTTCACCAACCCCCCACTTTGTTGAGTGCTGTCCCAAGAGGCTGTGTGTGTGTGTGTGTGTGTGTGTGTGTGTGTGTGTGTGTGTGTGTGTTTTATTATACTTTAAGTTCTGGGGCACATATGCAGATCTTGCAAGATTGTTGCATAGGTATATTCATGCCATGGTGGTTTGCTGCCTCCATCCCCCCATCACCTACATTAGATATTTCTCCTAATGTTATCCCTCACCAACCTCTGCACCCCCTGTTATTATTCTCCTAGCTCACCACCCCTCAACAAACCCCAATGTGTGATGTTCCCCTCCCTGTGTCCATGTGTTCTCATTGTTCAACACTCACTTACGAGTGAGAACATGCAGTGTTTGGTTTTCTGTTTTTCTATCAGTTTGCTGAGAATGATGGTTTCCAGATTCATCCATGTCCCTGCAAAGGACATGAACTCATCCTTTTTTATGGCTGCATAGTATTCCGAGAGGCTTCAACTCTGCAGTCCAGAGCTTGCTCCTTGACTAGAGAAACTCTTCAAGAAGAGAGTTCCAGGTGCTTGTTCTAAGAAACCACCATTGTATCTTAGAATAAAGAGTGCTGAGGAAATCGAGGTAGTACCCCTGAAAATATGTGTTGTGGTCTTCTCCTCTGCAGAGAAGAACAACAGAAAAATTGACTGGTAATGATGACACTCAAAAAAGAAAACTAATGATACACAGTATCCGTATATTTCTATGTCTGAAAAATTTATTTAAGATTTATTTAGATAAATATTTGTTTAAAATGGAATAGCTTCATATGAGAAATTATGACAGAGAGCAAATATTTCAATTAAGGTAGCTGACAGATTTCAGAGCAAATTACAACTTATGTTTGTTTGGTACAGAGGTAAAATGTGGCGGGGGAGGGCATATATTTGGAGGCCAGATTCAATCTAAGAATCAGTTGGAACTGAAGTTTTCTAACTAGCTTCTCATAACTCAGCTCACAGATGAACTACATCAAGAATGCTGGTTGCAGAGAATCAGGTGAGTCCAGATGAGAGCAGCAGCAGCAAGAACCACTAGAGCAGGTTGGGCGGGAGCAGGTGGTCTGGCAGCAGTTGGGTGGCAGCAACTGGACACACAGCAGCTGGGTTGAAAACACTGGGTTCTGCAGCAGGTGGTCTACCAGCAGCTGGAGTGGCAGCAACTGGAATCGCACAGGAGGGCCTGCAGCAGCTGGAACCACATCAGGAGGAGCTACTGCTGCTAGAGACAGTGCAGGAAGGCTGGCAGCAGCTGGAAATGCAACAGCTGAGGCAGCAGCAGGTGGTCCTGCAGCAGGTTGTATAGCAGCAGATGGGCTAGCAGCAAAGAGACTGGCAGCACTGGGGCCTGCAGCAGCTGGACACACAGCAGCTGGGGCGGCAGCAGGTGGTCACACAGCAGCTGGGGCGGCAGCAGGTGGTCCTGCAGCAGGTTGTCTGACAGCACTGGGGCCTGCAGCAGCTGGACACACAGGAGCTGGGGCAGCAGCAGGTGGGCACACAGCAGCTGGGGCGGCAGCAGCTGGACACACAGCAGCTGGGGCGGCAGCAGGTGGTCCTGCAGCAGGTGGTCTGGCAGCACTGGGGCCTGCAGCAGCTGGACACACAGGAGCTGGGGCAGCAGCAGGTGGGCACACAGCAACTGGGGCGGCAGCAGGTGGTCCTGCAGCAGGTTGTCTGACAGCACTGGGGCCTGCAGCAGCTGGACACACAGCAGCTGGGGCGGCAGCAGGTGGTCACACAGCAGCTGGGGCGGCAGCAGGTGGTCCTGCAGCAGGTTGTCTGACAGCACTGGGGCTTGCAACAGCTGGACACACAGCAGCTGGGGTGGCAGCAGGTGGGCACACAGCAACTGGGGCGGCAGCAGCTGGACACACAGCAGCTGGGGCGGCAGCAGGTGGTCTGGCAGCAGCTGGGACGGCAGCAGTTCTCCAGACCACAGCCCTGGTCAGAGCAGACAGAGCCACAACAGGAGTTGACCATGGTGTCAGAGGGTGGAGGTTCTGGATGGGTTTCCAGGAAGGTGGGTTTGGAAGGTTTGGAAGCCTCCTTGCCCCCAGATCCTCTTTTATACCCTGCTAAGGGCCAATGTCATCAGATGCAGCACTCTTTCCTTGTTATTGTTTGTCCCGATAAGTAGTTAATTACCAAATTAGCCAAATGGTTTGTTTTCCTGGTTAAATTTGTCAACATGGAGGAAAGCATTATTTCCTTCCCCTGGTAGGTTATGATTCCTCAGGTCAGCTCTTCTTGAACAACCTCTTGCATGTCTCTTGCTGTAGCTTCCTCCTGGAGCTGCCATGTGACATCTGCTTGTACATACCATGTACTGCAGCCTCATTTTCCTTAATACATTATGTCTGACCTTGGGTGATTTTGATGCTTCTAGGCCCATAATTTTCTTTTGGTAACTCAGGAGGAGAAAGCTGTGCTTTAATTTCATGGTATGTTTGTTATGGATCAAGTAGACAATGAAGGTTTGAATGTGAAACAGGTGACCAGCGGCATGAAAACACAAATACTATTAGGATATATTCTTTGCCCCCTTCCATACAATGAATCATAACCGATTCTCTAGACTTTCTGATGGGGAAAGCAGAATTGTTTTAAGGTGGACATCTAAGTCATCAATTATTGATGCTTCTTTTTCTTGAGAAACAACACTCCAAAACTCAGTTTCAAGGACTTTAGGGAAAATTGGCCTCAGAGCTATACTAAAGGGTTCAGGTCTCTCAGCTCTCTGCCCTGAGGGGCTGATTTTCCTTTTGACTTTTCTTTCCTGTCTCGCTGACTTTAACAGGCACATTGAGTCATCACTTCCATTTCTAAGGTTTACTTGCTAACCTGAGGTAAAGGGCCCAGTGTCCTTGCCATATATATATATATATATATATATATATATATATATATGCACATACACAGTATATGATATACAGACACATACATATATACACCATATATAAATATACACACATACACACACACACACACACAACATATGTAAACATACACACATATCCCCATGCATACATATCTATATATACCATATATAAATATACTGACATACACACACGCACACACACACACACACACACACACACAAACATATACAGGTTTGGGGTTATATATATATATATTCCTAAGGCAAAAAACCTTAGGAATATATATATATATATACACATAGTACTTTATATATAGGTAATATAGGACTATATATATATATTTATGAATATGTATAATACATATTCCTAATATAATAGGTAATATAGGACTATATATACATATATATTTATGAATATGTATAATACACATTCCTAATATATATTCCTAATATGTATTTGTATTTAATAATATGTATAAATATATAATGTACATAATAACATATTCAGGAATACACATTTTATATGTGTATATATATATATATGTATATATACATATACATATATGTATTTACCTTTATTTCCTAAGGCCTTTTACCTTAGGAATATTACACACACACACACACACACACACACACACACACACACACACACACATACACACAGTCCTCCAAACCTGGGTGTTAAGGAAACCTAAGGATCGGCACAGAAACTTCCAGTCTTTGTGCCACATTCTTCCAATTATGTGTCACCCTCCACTTTAGGATGCTCTTGGGTTAGCAATTCCTGTTTGGACTGGTCTCTCTAAGGATAGCTATGGGCACATCAACTCTTCTGAGTGAGGGTCCTTCCGTAAAACATGCTCCTCAAAATATTTGGGGGCCACGAAGTTAAGAAAGAGTGAGTATGCCAAACGGCAGAATCATGGTTCCAGAAGCTACAGAAATACTCTCACAAGGGATCAAACCTAATGAGATGAAATATCAGAACCAACTGCAGATCAAATGAGTGGTTATTAATGCACCATGGTAAACAAGATTGGGGAGGAGTAAATATATCTACATTTATTGGGAGTATTTATTTAACAATGCACACACCCTAAGGTTGTGTCCACTATTAGCACCCCTTCACCAGATAAAATATTACAGGTTGAGGATATCTTATCTGAAAATTCGAAATCTGTAATGCTCCAAAGCCCAAAACTTTTTGAGTACCTACATGATGTTCAAAGACAATGCCCAATAGGGCATTTAGGATTTCAGGTTTTTGCATTAGGCATGCTCAGCAAGTATAATGTAAATATTCAAACTCTGAAAGAACTTGAAATCTGAAACACTTCTGGTGCCAAGCATTTCAGATATGCGGCACTCAACCTGGATCACCACAATGAGCTCTATTACTCCAGCATGCAGTAGAAAGACAGGTTGAGAACTCTGGTCTAGAAACAACCACTGTGTGTGTATAAGAGCTTGAAGCAGTTTATAATGAAGACTACTAGGTGCTGCACACTCTACCAACCTCAGTATTAGTTCACACTTACTGCCAACCACTTACTGCCACTAACCCTGCGTTAGCTCCTGCATGCAAACTTGAAACATTCATAAAAGTGGGACATTTTCTAAGGCAGATGAGGCATTTCTAATCCTAACAGAGTATTCCAAACACACCTGGAAAATGCATTTCAAACCAGGCTAGAAGGATACAGGTAAATTGAAGTTTATGAAAAGTAACGTTGCTCTGAGAGTGACATTATGATCAGTGAGGAACGAGTGAAAACAATTTGGAGATTTAACCTAAAAAGGAGAAAACTGGAGCAAAGCAATGGCCGTGCAGCTTGAAGGGGCTCTGTGTGAGACTGGATTTGCCCAGATGGCTACCATGGCCTGATATAGGCTAGGGAAGACGGGATGCTCCTAAGAAGAAACAAAATCTGACTCACCATGAAGAAGGTGTTCTATGGGGGCTTCCGTGTGAGCTCTTGTTGCTGACTGAGGTACATGCAAGAACCAGATACAGGGAATTGGATGAAATTGCTTTGAGCTTCCCTCTCTGCACTCAGGTACATGTAAGTCTAATAAATGGAATATGATGCTATTATATCGCTAACCCTTTTCTACTGCTGCATATTGCTAACCAGTTTCTACTACTGCCTTGGTCCTGATTTCCAGGCTTACATAACCAGGATGATAACAATCTGGGCTCTGTGAGTGGACCCCTGCTTGGAGCACTGGCTGGTGTTCTGAGCCTGCACTGGCTGTGATGGACCCAGACACAGCATCATATTGCAGTCCTGAGCCTTTTTCTTCAGTCAGTGTGAACAGAAGCAGGGTTTCTGAGCTGTTACAGGGTTAAAACTCTGTGAGCACCTTTATGGTGATTGAGAATGACTCTAAGATTTCCTTGATGGCTGCGTAATATTCCATGGTGTATATGTACCACATTTTCCCTATCCAGTCTATCATCGTTGGGCATTTGGGTTGGTTCCAGGTCTTTGCTATTGTAAACAGTGCTGCAATGAACATTCGTGTGCACGTGTCCTTGTAGTAGAATGATTTATAATCCTTTGGATAAGTTCACGTCCTTTGTAGGGACATGGATGAACCTGGAAACCATCATTCTCAGCAAACTGACACAAGAGCAGAAAATCAAACACCGTATATTCTCGCTCATAGGCGGGTGTTTAACAATGAGAACACATGGACACAGGGAGGGGAGCACTACACACTGGGGTCCGTTGGGGGGAAATGGGGGAGGGGCTGGGGGTGGGGAGGTGGGAAGAGATAGCATGGGGAGAAATGACAGATACAGGTGAGGGGACGGAAGGCAGCAAACCACACTGCCATGTGTGTACCTATGCAACAATCTTGCATGTTCATCACATGTACCCCAAAACCTAAAATGCAATAAAAAAAAAAAATTAAAAAAAAAAAAAGATTTCCTTGAGATCTTGTATTTTCAAAAAAGAATCACACCCTTGAGGAACCTGATGACTGGTGCATACTGATGACTCAGTAGTGATCACTTTTCTTTACATTAATTGGCTATTTCTTTTCTTTTTAAGATGAGCATGTGTGTTTTTCTTCATATAAGTTTGCATTATGTTTAGAAATCTCTCATGATTTCTTCTAGTACTTTAGCACTTTCATTTTTCCCGTTTTATTGAGGTATAGTTGGCAAATAAAATTTGGTCTATATTAAGTGTGCAACATGATAACTTGATATGTATGTATTGTGAGATGATTATCACAACCAAGTTAGTTAATACCTTATTACCTCACCTAGTTATTGTTTTCTATGTGTGTCGTGAGAATAACTAAGATCTACTTTTTCAGAAAATTTTAAGTTCTCAATACAGTGTTATTAACTATAGTCACCATGCTAGTTATTAGAACCCTAGAACTTAGTACCAGTGTCAGATTTGGGGATTTGACACACACTATGGTTCTATGAGAAGTGACCATCGGGGGGAACCGGGTGAAAGGTACAGGGAACTTTGTCTTATTCCACTTCATGTTAATCTATAGTAATTTCAAAACAAAGAGTTAAAAAAAAAATACAACAGAGGCTAATTGGAAGTAAAAGAGAGCATGCTTTTATTTGTTGATCAGGTATCTTTATCTCATTGACATTTTATGACAACCTTCATGTGTTTTTGAGTTATTATGATCCTTTCTTAAGATAAAAGTAATCCTAGGTTGACAGTTTAAATACCATGTCTAAGATCATAGTTGGTATGCAGTACAGTGAGAATTCAGCCTCAACTCTGTAGAGTTCTCACATTCACAGAATCTATTCTACACTGAGCTGCTTCTACTTAAATCAATTGAAATCACATAATGGAATGTAGTTTATTGAAGACTTGTGCTGGCAGTTACATTCCACAGCTTTCACATGATATGTGTTAGGTCCAAAAATGTCTCTTAAATTATTCTCCTATTTTTATTATGAGACTGAATTCTGGCTTGGATAAAATCTCACTGGAAAATGCCAACTGAATGTTTTAACTATGAGGGTGTTTGACAACATGTACGCCTGTTTTGTGCAGAAAAAGAGACAGAAATACACATATATCATTATATTAATAAAAAATGAAAAGAGATGAGCATTTTGGTGCTTTTGAATTTTATGAAGTTTTATTGAGGAGCATCAAACAATTGGACATGAAAATTGATTCCATAGAAAAACACTAGAAAGAAACATCTAGAAGGGTACCATTTGAAGACTTAGGTATATTGAATCGGAATAAAGAATTCTAAAACATATGATATAGAATTTGACTGTAAATTCATATTCAATAGTAACAGAAAGCTTCTATAAAAGAGAATAAACACTAATAAAGAGACTGGGCTTTTCCAAATCAGTCCATGCCTCTGTTTTCATGAAATCAGAAAGTCCACATGCTCTCTGAATCGATGCTCTCTGTCTGAATGAAGGATAAGAGCAAGAAGGTGCACGAATCCAGAGCAGGTCACTCAGCAGCAAGAATTGCCACAGCAGATGGGGCGGAAGCAGGTTGTTCTACAGCAGGTGGTCTGGCAACAGGAGGGGTGGCAGCAGCTGGGCACACAGCAGCTGGCAGGACAGCAGCTAGAAATGCAGCAAACAGGGCGGCAGCAGGAGGGCTGGCAGCACTGGGGTCTGCAGCAGCTAGAGATGCAGCAGCTGGGGCGGCAGCAGGTGGTCCTGCAGCAGGTGGTCTGGCAGCAACTGGGTCTGCAGCAGCTGGAGATACAGCAGGAAGGCCTGCAGCAACTGGGGCGGCAGCAGGTGGTCTGGCAGCAGCAGGGGCAGCAGCAGCTCTCCTGGCAGAGATTTCGACCACAACTCTGGTCAGAGCAGACAGAGCCACAACAGGAGCTGACCATGGTGTCAGAGGGTGGAGGTTCTGGGTGGGTTTCCAGGAGAATGGGGTTCTGGGGTTTAGAAATCTCCTTGAGCCACAGCCTCTTGTATACTGTCGCAGTTTCCTGTTGTCAATATCTCTTTCTTGTTTTTGTTTATTTAATTGCTAAATAATTATCAGGCTACACAATAATGTTTGTCCATTTAATAGTTTAAAATCACTGGGAAGAAAATATTCTTGTCCAGATGTAATAAGATCTATACCATCTACTTTTCCTTGATTCTCACCTTGATGGCATCTTCTAGACCAAACTATCTTCCTCTTCCTCCACACAGGTCAATCAGGTGGTGGTTTGCATTCGGAATTACATTTCTTACTCTCTTTTCCTGTACCCACCACCAGAATGAGATTTAGTCAGTTACACTACTAATTATGCATTTCTTCCAATGACCAAGGGAGAGGAAAGCCCCTCTGCTCAGTGTGGCATCTGGCCTGGGACAAGAAGAAAAGGTCCTATTTTGTGTGTCATTCTGAGCAATGAGGAAAGAGATAGCTCTTCCTCTATGTGACCTTGATAGCCTCTACACCGGAAGGGGTTTCCCTGGATATTTCAAACTTTGGGATCCTGTCCTATATCCTTAAATCCTGGTAGGCTGCTTACCTGGATAGCTGGTGTTACTAAAAGGTCACAGTTTCTTAAGTTCCTACTTGGCGTCTTACAGGTTTCTGTCATGTCTCTCCAGCTGGTCTCTCGGACTCTAGAAGACATAACCTCATTTTTATTCCTCCTTTCATTTTAAATTTTGAATATTCTTCATTACAGCAAAAATATTGAAAGATCAGAACTTGCATCGTATCAGAACTGAGTTCCAGTGCTGGGAAATTACAAAACTCATTTTTTTTTTCGATCAATCTGTAATGTTGGAAGACTTGAGCAAATTCCAGCTTACTGAATGAAGATTTTGCCTTAACCCCTAATTAGTAGTAGACAAACTCAGGCATGCCTCAGAGTCATCTGGAGAGTAAGACTCCATCCCCCACCCCCCCAAAAAAGGCTAGTAAATGTACAGTTCTTCTTTCAATAACCATGTTTTCGTTCCCACTATGGGCCAGACCCATTCTCAGGATGGAGACACAAGCAAAAAATACTCCACACCATCACTTCCTTCACTATAACTTCCTTCTGACTCAATGAACTGCACCAGATCCCTTTACAGGATGAACTGGCAATGCCATTACCCATATGCTAGACCAGCAAACAGGGGCTGTGTCCACCTTTGCAGCTAAGGTCAGGTTGCCTCAGCAGCAGAGATGGCAGAAATTCCTAGCCACAATTTTAGTCAGAACAAATCAAGTTGTATCAAAAGACCATTTTGTTGCCAGTGAAAATAAGAGACTATTTCCAAAGATTAGCCAGATGTGGAAATTGCTAAGCATCCAAAATATGATGCAACTTTTTCTGTCTTTTCCCCATTAATACACATGATGGAGTCATTCTCGTCCCTTTTGTTCCTGCATTTAAAACACACAATGGTGTTTGTATTTTTAACTGCGGATTCAAAGCAAAATATTTTAGTTGTCAGACTAACTACTTTTAAACTTTTCTTTTCACCACTCCATGTAAACATCATGTACCCAGGTTATGTTTGTATTCAGGGCCATCAACAGCATGCTGATGTGGAGCTCAGCATGGAAAAGATTATGTCAATTACAATTGAGCCCAGTCCCTCATTGCAGGGAATGAGATACCCAAGTGGCGTTGCTGTTACTATTAGAATTGCCATCACTGAATCTGTGTTTGTGTGACACGGATGAAAAATTTCATAAAATATAAATTGTAACTCAAAATATTTTAAAATATGGTTTACATTTGTCACCTTGACTTAATCAACATGTTCCAGTGCTGGATGGAAAAAGTAGGTGGTGACAATAGTTCTGACCTCTTCAAGTTAGTGTCAGTTGTCAGGGATCAGTCAATGTACTCTGTCTTAAAGAATGACAATTCTGGGGAGGCACAGTGACTCATTCCTGTAATCTCATCACTCTGGGAGTCTGAGGTGGGAGAATCGCTGGAGTCCAGGAGTTCAAGGCCACGATGAGCTGTGATCGCACCACTGCACACCAGCTGAGGGACAGAGCAAAACCTTGTCTCTAAAATAACAATAAAATAATAATAAATAAAAATACACACTTTATAGTTAAATGATGCTATTGATGTTGAACACTTCTCTCTCTTCTGGAAATAAGTTCTTATGGGTTATCTATTATTAAGAAGAACAATCATTTATTTTCAGAAGACTCATAACACTTATGAAACACTTCCTCCTAGGGCAATTCCCTATAGGTCATGAAAAATACTGTCATAAATAATAACCAGGAAAATTCTGCTCATTGGTCCCAACTTTGGGAACCAGTGTATAAAAGATTCAGATTAGAGGAGGTCATCAGATTCTGGGAAACTCACCTCTGAACAGGAGCCCACCATTCACCCCTGACACCATGACCCACTGCTGCTCCCCTTGCTGCCAGCCTACGTGCTACAGGACCACCTGCTGCAGGACCACCTGCTGGGAGCCCACCTGTGTGACCAGCTGCAGCAGCACACCCTGCTGCCAGCCCTCCTGCTGTGTGTCCAGCTGCTGCCAGCCTTGCTGCCGCCCAACTTGCTGTCAAAACACCTGCTGCAGGACCACCTGCTGGAAGCCCACCTGTGTGACCAGCTGCAGGAGCACACCCTGCTGCCAGCCCTCCTGCTGTGTGTCCAGCTGCTGCCAGCCCTGCTGTCAAAACACCTGCTGCAAGACCACCTGCTGCCAGCCCACCTGTGTGACCAGCTGCTGCCAGCCCACCTGTGTGACCAGCTGCTGCCAGCCTTCCTGCTGCAGCACACCCTGCTGCTGCCAGCCCACCTGCTGTGAGTCCAGCTGCTGTGGCCAAACCAGCTGTGGGTCCAGTTGTGGCCAGACCAGCTCCTGTGCACCTGTGTACTGCACGAGAACCTGCTACCACCCAACGTGTGTCTGCCTTCCTGGTTGCCTAAACCAGAGCTGTGGATCCAGCTGCTGCCAGCCCTGCTGTCGCCCAGCCTGCTGTGAGACCACCTGCTGCAGGACCACCTGCTGGAAGCCCACCTGTGTGACCAGCTGCAACAGCACACCCTGCTGCCAGCCGTCCTGCTGTGTGTCCAGCTGCTGCCAGCCATGCTGCCACCCAACTTGCTGTCAAAACACCTGCTGTAGGACCACCTGCTGCCAGCCCACCTGTGTGACCAGCTGCTGCTAGCCTTCCTGCTGCAGCACACCCTGCTGCCAGCCCACCTGCTGTGGGTCCAGCTGCTACCAGCCCACCTGTGTGACCAGCTGCTGCCAATCTTGCTGCTGCCCAACTTGCTGTCAAACCACCTGCTGCAGGACCACCTGCTGCCAGCCCACCTGTGGGTCCAACTGTGCCAGTCTTGCTGCCACCCAGCATGCTGTCAAAGCACTTGTAGAACCACCTGCTGCCAGCCCACCTGCTGCCATCCATCCTGTGTGACCAGCTGCTGCAGCACACCCTGTTGCCAGCCAACCTGCAGTGGGTCCAGCTGTTGTAGCCAAACCTGCAATGAGTCCAGCTAAGCTTTTCTGAGAAACAACATTCTGACACAGAACTTTGTGACCATTTTCTTCCTACCATGCTTGGGATTCTACTGAAGGTATACAGTCTACTTTTCTTTAATTTTATTGTTCTTCATTTCCTCTGGATTAATGTACCAGATGATGGTCAGTCAGCTCCACCTAATTGACATGGATACATGGTCTCAGCCTCAGGAAGTGATCATCAGCTTTTGCCCCTATGGAACTTAAAAAGAAATTCTTATGACTGCATATCTAACTCTCTATAATGATCATCCTTTTAGATATATGCGTTTTATTTAGTAACCTCTGCCAGATTACTAAACTCTTTTGTGATCGCTTTTGATTGTCTCCCTACCTAGTCTTTTCTAATAAAATTTATATTATCCTGCATTCTATGGTATGATTTTGTTTCATTTATTTGTTTGCAGCAGTTCCTTTATGAAGCCTTACTTTTGAGTTCTGCTTTATATTGATTATCTCATTCAAGTCTCACGATGACCTACAAGTTAGAGCAAACATTTTAGTGCTGAGAAAATGATTTGCCATACAACTGCCAATTAACAGAAGGTCCAATGACCAGATCCTTTCATCTTTTGCTTTTTTAAACATTTTTCTACAGACGTATGCAACAGTGATGATAGAGTGCAGGAAAGACATTCTAAGTCACTTCTCAAGCAAACACTTTTCTATCTATGAAGCAAATACTCTCTCCTTCTACTACCATTAGAGACACTTTTAAGAACTCTAGGAATGCTTTTACACTGTTGGCGGGAGTGTAAATTAGTTTAACCACTGCGGAAGACAGTGTGGCTATTCCTCAAAGATCTAGAACTAGAAATACCATTTGATCCAGCAATCCCATTACTGGGTATATACCCGAAGGATTATAAACCATTCTACTATAAAGACACCTCCACACGTATGCTTGTTGCAGCACTATTTACAATAGCAAAGACTTGGAACCAACCCAAATGTCCATCAATGACAGACTGGACAGGGAAAATGTGGCACATAGACAGGAATACTGTGATTACTGTAAATGTGGCACATATACATGGAATACTATGCAGCCATAAAAAAGAATGAGATAATGTTCTTTGCAGGAACATGGATGAAGCTGGAAGTCATCATTCTCAGTAAAGTAACACAGGAATAGAAAACCAAACACGGCCTGTTCTCACTCATAAGTGGGAGTTGAACAGTGAGAATGCATGGACACAGGAAGGGGAACATCACACACCAGGGCCTGTCAAGGGTTGGGGACAAGGAGAGGGAGAACATTAGGACAAATACGTAATGCATGCAGGGCTTAAAACCTAGACGACGTGTTGATGGGTGCAGCAAATCATCGTGGCTGCCATTTTTAGAGGTCGCATGTCCATGAGGGAGGTGGATGAGCAAATGTTCAACATTCAAAATAAGAACAGCAGCTGCTTTGCCGAATGGCTTCCTCACAAAGCGAAAACAGCCATCTGTGACATCCCACCCCAGGGGCTAAAAATGTCGGCCACCTTTATTGGTAACAACGCATCTCTGAGCAGTTTACAGCTATGTTCAGGTGCAAGGCCTTCCTGCACACGGGCGAGGGCATGGATGAGATGGAGTTCACCGAGGCCGAGAGCAACCTGAATGACCTGGTGTCAGAATACCAGCAATACCAAGACAGCACAGCTGAGAAGGAGGAGTTTGAGGAGTGTGCAGAGGAGGAGGAGGTAGCCTAGAAGCTTCCTTTTCTAGGTAAAGGGGGAAGCAGTGTGGATTTTTTTAGTGTGTTATGATAGCCGTTGTCACTACACACTTGAGTCTTTACATCTCCTCCTGCATTTTAAAGCATTTTCATAGCAAGTAGCTTGACCTAATAAAATGTTTTCATAGCAAAAAAAAAAAAAAATCACCATGGCACATGTATACCTATGTAACAAACCTGCATATTCTGCACATGTATCCCAGAACTTCAAGTAAAATAAAAAAATAAAAATAAACAAGATTTTTTAAAAAGAGTTCTAGTCCATGAAAAGAGCTTTACATCTCTGGATTCTGATCCACCACTGAAGAATCTGTCACCAACAACTAGTGTGAGCACCATGGGTGTTCCTGGCCCTACCCTCACCAAGAGGAACCTCCTCTTTGCTGTCATGGTTGAGCATTTGGGTATCGTTTCATTCATCTTAACAGAAATTAGGATTAAGAATTACCTTTGCAAAGCACACAAGTAGAATTTGGACCATGCTTCCTGAGTTCTCAAGCTTTGGGGCAATTTTGTTTCCTAACATGAACTTTGTTAAGGGAAGATAAATTTGTACAGAATCCTAAGAATTAAGGTTACCATGCAATGGACTTATGTCCTTTGATCTAATCATAATCTCTGGGCCATAAAAGGAAACAAAATAACTTCCTGTGTTCTGTGAAATAAAGAAGATAAAGACAGTTATGCTAAAGGAAGTAAAAATCAGAGTTTTCAGAAAAAAGGGAGAAATGGTAGAAATAAGAAAATGAGTGGAAATTATGTACTATTTAAAGTCAAGAGGGGCATTAGGCTGATTCCCAAATGAAGGAACTTGGAAATTCTGATGAAAAACTGAGTAAGAAAGAGAATATACAGGGGACACGGCAGTACAAGGGCTAATTCAGCTTTGGGATGACACTTAAAGGTTTTGACTGTGGCCACCTTCTTTAGAGGACATAAAGGTGCTTTCAGTAAGTTAACCACTAGATGTGACAGATGCACAATCTTCCTAGAGGATGTATCTGGAATTCTCTGCCAGGTTATTAAACTTTCCAACGGGGGAATGAATGGGTGAGTTGCCGACATTTTCTGAGATCCTGCTATATACTAACTATTGAGGTAGTTTCTTCATCCACAATCTCTCTCATTCTCATGCAATCCCAAAAGGCAGGTATTAGTGGCTCTACGTTCAAGCTAAGGAAATCAGTGTTGAGGGAGTTAAAGCAAAGTGCATGTGTTGCACAAATAATACAACATCTTTCTACTTTCCAAAACAAAGCTGTTTGGGGGAAGTACTGGTGAAATGAGAGATACAGATCAATGGAGAAAATTGGGAGACAAGAGATACACACATGTATTATCACATACTTTTCTTTCCTTTTTAAAACACATACTGAAGTAAAATCACGCCAATGTCTGAAGTCCAATCAGAATGGGGTACAGATATTATGAATCCAGATTCATCAGGAAGTTAGGATTTTTTTTTAAATTTAAGAAGCTTCTTACGGTGGGAATGTAAACTAATACAAGCACTGTGGAAAACAGTGTGGAGATTCCTTAAAAAACAAAAAGTAGAAATACAACTCGATCTAGCAATTCTAATACTAGTTATCTACCTAGAGGAAAAGAACTCATTATACGAAGAAGATACTTGCACATGCATGTTTATAGCAGCACAATTCACAACTGCAAAAATATGGAACCAGCCCAGATAGCCATCAGTCAAAGACTGGATAAAGAAACGGTTGTATATATGATGGATTATTACTCAGCCATTAAAATGAATGAATTAATGGCACTCACAGCAATCTGGATGAAATTGGAGACTATTATTCTAAGTGAAGTAACTCAGGAATGGAAAAACAAACCTAAAATCTTGTGAGTGGGAATTAAGTTATGAGAATGCAAAGGTGTAAGAATGATAACAATGGTCTTTGGGGACTCAGGGGAAAAGATGGGAGGGGTGAGGGATAAAAGACTACAAATTGGGTTCAGTATATACTACTTGGGTGACGGGTACACCAAAATCTCACAAATCACCGCTAAAGAACGTACTCATGCAACCAAATACCACCTGTTCCCCAAAAAATTATGGAAATACAATTTAAAAGAAAAAAAAGAAGAAGCTGCTCTGCTCTATCTGATGCATGATCTCATGGTAACAGTGAAAGTGGTCAGATGTTTGACCAATCTCCAAAACCCATGTTCTTCTACCTTTTAAAGATAAAATGCTTCTTAAAACTATTTCAGCTGGATGCGGTGGCTCATGCCTGTAATCCCAGCACTTTGGGAGGCCAGGGCATGTGGATTACCTGAGATCAGGAATTCAAGACCAGTCTGGCCAACATGGTGAACACTCCCACCCCATCTCTACTAAAAACACAAAAAAATTAGCCAGGCTGGTGGCATGCATCTTCAATCCCAGCTACTCGGGAGGCTGAGGTAGGGGAATTGCTTGAACCAGGGAGGTGGAGGTTGCAGTGAGCTGAGATTGTGCCACTGCACTCCAGTCTGGGTGACAGAGCAAGATTCAGTCTAAAAAAAAAAAAAAAAAAAAAACAAGAAACCATTTCTTCTTGTCTTAAATTGAATTTATAATTAAAACTTTTATTTTAAAAGAATAGAGATTGGCATGCAGTTGTAAGATGTGATACAAGAAATCCATATACTCTTTGCCCAGTTTTCCCCAATAGTAACATCCTCCAAAACTGTAGAAAAACATCATCACCAGCATATGATGCTGATATTGACATAGCCAATGTACAACACATTTCTGTCACCACAACGATCTCTTTCCATTGTTCTTTTATGGCCACACTCACCCCCCTCACACACTCACTCCCTTCTTAACACCCGGCAACCAAGGATGTTATGTAAAAGGAATCATACAGTACTTAACATTTTGAGATGGGTTTTATCAACACAGCCTAATTCCCTGAAAATTGAAACAGATTGTTGAACAGTTTTTCCTTTTTGTTGCTGA